CGCCATAATCGACATTTATGTGCAACCTTTTGGGAGACAAATAATCTGCATTTATCTACAGACAATTTAGCATTGAAGTGACAGCTGGGGTTCAGTTAAATCCTGATGTTGATAGCGGCAACCTTGGCAGAGCATCCTCTAACAACATCTGGATATATGTCTTCTACTTGTCCACCATCAGAGCTACCTCACAAGGCGTATTATACATAAAGGACAAACACCCTGCACACATTAAAACAAGAGAGAGAGAGAGAGAGAGAGAGAGAGAGACCTATACGACTGCTCAATGTCAGAGGCCCAGAGCTAAGTTCCAACAGCAGGGGGTAGGGCCCGCAGCTGATAAGCGAGATACAAGCAGAGGTGATGAAATGCCACCAGCAGGATATCAGCCCTCCACAAAATACTTCATCTCCTTTTAGGCATAAAGGTACAAGTACCTTTCTTCCTCATTTGGGGCTGCAGAGAATACAGGCCTAAAAATGGCCACACCTAAATATAATACGTTCTGTCTCGCTGGCCACACAGAGACTCACAAACACGCAGACAAATTAGTCACTATACAGTCTGGATTATTGCTCTTTTCTATTGTTATAATATAGCTTTAGGAGACATAATCTTCTGACAAATGGCTCCTAACTCTAGCAGCAGTAGTCTGCAAACTGGAGTGTGCCCTGTTATATTGTCAGCAAACAGCATTAGGAAAAAGTTAAGTTTCCAAAACCATAAACTGCCAGGATTCAATCTGTTATCACAATATGTGGTGATTATCTAGGCCATGGTGCTCCATGGGAAAAAAAAATCCAAAAAGTGGCAGAAGATGGAATTAAATTTATCCAAGCTGAAAACAATAAAGATTAAAACAAATCCAGTCTAAACCTGCCAGTAATTGGGAACTGGAGCATAGCATTCATTACAACATATTGATCACTGCAAACAAAGACCCTGAATTTATTGATTGTGTTCCAGTAAAAAAAAGGGAAGAGGATGGAATCAAAGGGCTGCTCTTACACTCTTACAATAAAACCCCATGTAAGGAAGGAAAAGCTGCAGCGTGAGTCCCACCAGAGGGAAAAGGACGCTCATGGGGGTTGCTCTTGATGCCCCCCCAATGACAAAGAGAATATGTAGTGTGTTAGCTGCTATACACTGACGTTGTGCTTCATTCTCACCTACGGCATGACGGTTCCTGTGTGCTTATGGATCGCATCACAAGTGGGGATTTGAATATTAAGAAAGTAAGTTTGACTATTGAATTATTCAGTGCTCACACAGACATCAGTGCAGCCCTTATACACCTCAAACACCAAGATCTCCACAGCAGACATTCTTATTTTCCAACAATGGGCTTTAACAAATACACCCTTTCAAGCTACTACCTAGAGCTTTTGCCGAATATTTCAATAAACAGTGGTCTAAAACCAGACTTCTGTTTGACACATAATTCTGTCCTTGGACTGTACCACAAGATTCACAAGTACTACTTTGAAACGGTCAGATGTTTAAAAGTAGAGAAACATAAAACATAGTGTTTGTTAAATTTGGTATTGTCTGTTTTTCTTGTGATAAATGATTGACCTTGTGGGTCAAAACAACATGGGGTATAGGTGCTATGCATATGTTGCCTCCCTGGTGCTGGGTCAGGACCTCCTGCACTGGTGTTCCATTTATCTATACCTCCCCTAGCTACCCCCACTGGTCCCTTTGCCAATCTGTGAGCAGGAAAAGAAGCTAAGTATGTTTCTGAGCACTTGGCCCAGTTTACAGGAGAGGGTCGAGCAGGGTCACGTCTTACCAAACACTGGGGCCCCTTAAACACATATGAGTGGCCCCAGCTGGACGCAGGGCCATCAGGTTCTTAACAGAGCGCAGAGAACCAGAACAACATAAAAATGGGTTCAGTCAGCAAAAAGTTTTGGATTTCAAGAATATGTTTTTCTTACAAACGGGTAGGAATGTAGTTTGTTTAAAAGATTTCCCTTAAAAAATAGTGGGTAAGAAAAGAAACTGACAGAGTAATATAACAGAAAATCCAGGATTATGCAGAAAAAAGCTTTTAAGTTCATGTCACATTGAATTAATAATGTGGTAAACTGTAAACAACACATCCATAGAGATCATTGGACTTTTTTTGACAGGCTCACTTTCAAGGAACTTGAATCAAAGATAAAAAACAAGTATAAAAATGTATCTCTTTTATCAGCTGAGCTCATACTAATTGTCAGGAAAAAAAAGAAAACTCACAAAGCTAACAGATAAATATTAAAGTGGAAAAGATTGTTGGGTGAGAATTGGAACAGCAGCTACATAAGAGGGTGTAATGGACCCAATTAGGCTAGTGGGCTTTTCAGCAACAGTCTTACGGAGGGAAACCTCTGCTGAATAATGCTGTTACCGACTCACTGTGCAACTCGGCTTTAAAGACCTTATCTGTGGAGAGAAGGAAATGCACAATGTGTCAACTCTCCGGAACAACCACAATTCCATTAGACACCCAGAGGTAAACCACCCGTGGCGGCAGACCTACCTGAAATTAAATGCAATTTACTAAAACAAGGGACTTTTTCAAGCAACCGAACAAGATAAAAAAAAGGGAACAGAAACAACATTTAAAAAGTGCACTGATTGTGCAGGGGTCTGGTAATAAATAACTCCTCTTCAGTGACTATCAGCCCAAAACAAATACTGCAACCTTAAAAGCAAGGTCGTTCGAATCTGAGTGTTTGCAGAGAGGGCAAACTTCTTTCCTAGATGTGGTGTAACCTTCCTTTGATGGATCATTGGAGATGAATTCTCATAGAACAATAATTGTCCTTCCTCATTTTTCTCGCCGCTGCTCTGCAGAGCATATTTGAAGAAATGCATTTTAAAAAATCGATTGCAAATCAATGAGGCATCACTTGGCCACCCCCCAACGCCCCCCTCAAGGAATGTGATTAAATCGCAACATCAAGTAACAATGTTAGACTGTTAACAATTTACATGGCAACAAATGGCTACATCTTATCCACAGGATGTCTTTAATTAGTGAATACTATGTCAGCTGTTTACATGAGAACTGTCACTACTTCCAGGCTCAACACGCCTCAGGATGTGTATTCATGTAATCAATAGCAAGGAAAAGACTGGGCAATTAGACGGGACAAAGATAGGTAACGGCTCACTGACGCTGCGCCTCGTGCATATTTGAGGTCAAAAGCAACACAGTATGAGCAAACGTGTCGTATTATACACGGTGTACAGAACGGGCAGACGAATTCTGGACACTGGCCAATAATTTGGGACACGTTTTATGTGTTCTGGCAGATTTTATAACTATTTAGGTGTTCAGTTTTCGCCATGCTAACACTTATCAGGTATGTTAATTGAAAGAAACTACAGAACAATTCAATGAGTAGCAGTTCATTCACGATTTAAAGGGACAATTAACTGTCTTAATGAAAACCCAAGAACAGTTAAGCCTGAGCCTGTGACACCCTGCTGCAGAAGCCTGACTATGGAAAAACCTTATACTTCAAGTCAAAACCAATATCCTTAACTGGCACAGTGAGAACAAATTTAGAAAAAAAAATCCAGGCCCACTTTTCACAATGTGGGGGCTTTGTCTTTCAAAACATGCCACAGGAGCTTTTCATTAGAGAATGGAGTTTCATTAACATCATCCCACACTGCTGAGCCCTGCTGCATTACAATGACACAGGAGTGCCCCTCTCTGTCAAGGAAATCTCCACAGTGCAACAGCTCACTGGGGGAGGGGAAGGCGAGAGAAAAGAGACAGGAGGTGGGTTAGGGCAAACAAAAGGGAACCTGAACACCCCCCTGGTCACGGCTCATCCACGAGCCAACAGAGGGAAATCCATCACTTGCAGGATCAAACAGAAACTCTTGCATTAGGTAAAACCAAGTGAAAGCTCTACCCTCCCATCTAAGCACTCTCTTCCCTCTTTCCTTCCTTGCTACCTTCCTCCTCCCCACCTCTCTGACTCCCCACCAACGCCACAGTGCAAGTTTTCGGCACACACTGTGAAATCCAACACAAGTGAGAATGTTTTCTGGCCCAAATGACCTCAAGGCTGCAACCCTTCTAATGGCACAATGGTGATATATTCCAGTTTTTATTACCCTCTGGAGGCCAGCATACCATTCTAAACTAGCCGCCTCCTTATTCCAACCATATTAAAGTTCAAAGAAGCAGTGTTGGTCCGAATGTCAAGGACTAAAGCAAGAGATCATTATTTTTCACTTTCTTGTTTGCACCTGGTTGTACAGTATCCTGCAAAAATATGTTATAACAAAAAGTTTCTGTTATTGCTGTGACTTTGGCTCAACACTGTAACACACAGGAAGTGGGCAGATTTTATGATGCCAGCAGAAATCTCTGGGCATTAAAGCTTCATTTCAAGGAATGAGCACAAATACTTGCTGCATAATTAAGTTATATGCAAATGGAAATATATTAATTCACCATTACCACATACACTAAATTTAAATCATAATGCATTTGCTAAAATATTTAAATGTATGTGAGAATAGTATTTGTCGATCAGTATGAGAGGCATCATTCTTGAATCTGATGTCTATTTGTACACTAAATGATTAAGCCAGCGGTA